TCCCCCGTAGTTTCGGCGCTCTCCCCCGTAGTTTTGGAGCTCTCTCCCCGTAGTTTCAGCTCTCTCAATTGTATTTTCGGCGCTTTCCCCTGTAATTTTGTCTCCCTCCCCCATAGTTTCAGCGCTCTTGTAATTTCAGCCCTCCCCCCTTAGTTTTGGCGCTCAACCCCATCGGACTTGGCACTCACCCCCTTTAATATCTCCCTCTCTTGACATATAATAATAATGATAATAATAATGACAATACTAATACATAATAATACATAGTAACACAGTAATAAGACAGAAGGAGCAAGCACAAGAACACAGAAGAAGACAGAACACAGAAGGAGCAAGCAGAACACAGACGGAGCAAGCAGAAGAAGACAGAACACAGAAGGAGCAAGCAGAAGAACATAAGGTATCAATCACAATAAGACATAAGAATACAGAACACATACTGATCAATCATAAGAATACATAACACATACTTATCAATCATAATAATACATAATAACACATTCATTATCAATCATTAATAATACATAATAACACATAATTATCAATCATAATAATACATAAGACATAATAATCAATCACAATAATACATAATAATAATAATACTTGAAATGTAATTATCTTATTTGTGGTAACAGGTGGGATGAAATGCTAATTAATGCCCCAGTGTGGAAAATATAAGTAATTTTTAAGCCCAAGTGGACAACAAGCCTCCCTCAAGCGGGCCAAAACTCCCAAAATAATAATTTAACCAGGCAACGATCTGTGTCTAATGGGCCTAGAGAAGAGAGGAAGTGGTCTTTAAAGGAAGCCAGTATGTCCTCCTCTCTCCTGGGAAACAGCTAACAATCATACTGTTTACATTTATACTTTAACTGACCTTACCTGACCTGACCTAAGATGACCGCCTGCGTTATTCCCCGTCGTTCTTCTGCGCTCTCCCATTTCTGACATCGGCACTCACCCATTGTCGTCTGCGCTCTCCCCCGTCGTTCCTTCTGCACTCTTACCTGTCTGACGTTGTAGCTCTCCCCCGTAGTTTCGGCGCTCTCCCCCGTAGTTTTGGTGCTCTCCCCCGTAGTTTTGGCGCTCTCCCCCGTAGTTTTGGCGCTCTCCCCCGTAGTTTTGGTGCTCTCCCCCGTAGTTTTGGTGCTCTCCCCCGTAGTTTTGGCGCTCTCCCCCGTAGTTTTGGCGCTCTCCCCCGTAGTTTTGGCGCTCTCCCCCGTAGTTTTGGCACTCTCTCCCACGTAGTTTCAGCTCTCTCAATTGTATTTTCGGCGCTTTCCCCTGTAATTTTGTCTCCCTCCCCCATAGTTTCAGCGCTCTTGTAATTTCAGCCCTCCCCCCTTAGTTTTGGTGCTCAACCCCATCGGACTTGGCACTCTCCCCCTTTAATATCTCCTTCTCTTGACACACCTGGGCTCCTCCTCCCCCTCTGGAGGATCCCCAGGGTGTCGCTTTCTCTTCCTGGTGCTCAGAGACGAGCCTTCTGTGGGATAAAAACGTTTAAAAGTTTGAAAAACCTCCAGACAATTACTGATTTGTATACAGGACAGTAGTGGAGAGTAACTAAGTACATTTACTCAAGTACTGTACTTAAGTACACATTAAGGTACTACTTTATACTTCTACTCTACTATATTTTGGAAGCAAATATTATACTTTTTACTCCTCTACATTTATTTTATGTGACAGATTTACTTACTAGATACTTTTAAAAATTACAATTTTGCAATACTTAGGAACATTTTTTTAAATATGATTATTTGGTATCGATTGAACCAGCCAACATTATATTTAAGTAACTCAAGGCTGGTGAACTGAACATTTATTGGCAGCAATTTAACTTCACAGTCCCAGCTTCTTAAATGGGAAAGTTTGCTGCTTTTGCTTTAAAATATTAAACAAATATTTAACATTATAGGGAGGCTGTGCCGCAGTGGACTAGTGTGTTGGTGTTCGGATCAGGGGGTCACAGGTTCAAACCCCACTGCAGTCAGCATGTAGTTGTGTCCCTGGGCAAGACACTTCACAACAAATTGCTCCTGTGGGGATTGCCCACAGTATTGAGTATGTTAATCGCTTTGGATAAAAGCGTCTAACAAGTAACATGTAATGTAATGTAATTATTTTCTGCAATGAGTTCATTTACTCCTAACACTTTAAGTACATTTTCCTAATCGTACTTAAATTCTACTTGAGGACGATTCTCTATGTGGTACTTTTACTTGAAATGTATTACATCTACAGTGTAGTATTAGTACTTTTACTCAAGTAAAGAATCTGAATACTTTTCCCACCTCTGAAACAGGACAAGGTTAATCAATTGAATAAATCTCAAAGATGAGCTTACGTGTGTTTGCCTCCTCCTCTTCCAGGCTCGTCTTCCTCATCTTCCTCTCCGGAGAGCCACTGCGTTCATTTCTGCACAGAAGAAACTTGTTTGGATCTCTTGACTTTTAACAGTGATTTTAGTAAATCGTTACAAACTGATAACTTAACACCTACTTTAACTCGATGTGTGAGGCTACAAAAGTGTCCCACGTCCACTTTCCCCCGGGTTTTCTCTCCGCTTCTTCAGAATCATCACGCTTCCTTTTCTTCCTCTCCAGTGAGGAATTGATTTGCTTTCTGCATTTTAAGAAGGTTTTTTTTTGTTTTTGTAAGTGTATAATGACGATAAAGGTTTATATTCTATTATATTCAAACAGTACAGACAAAGAGAAGAACACCTACCTTAATCCTGAGGCTACAAAAGTGTCCCACGTCCACTTTCTCCCGGGTTTTCTCTCCGCTTCTTCAGAATCATCACGCTTCCTTTTCTTCCTCTCCGGTGAGGAATTGATTTGCTTTCTGCATTTTAAGAAGGTTTTTTTTTTGTTTTTGTAAGTGTATAATGACGATAAAGGTTTATATTCTATTATATTCAAACAGTACAGACAAAGAGAAGAACACCTACCTTAATCCTGAGGCTACAAAAGTGTCCCACGTTCGCTTTCTCCCGAGTTTTCTCTCCGCTTCTTCAGAATCATCACGCTTCCTTTTCTTCCTCTCCGGTGAGGAATTGATTTGCTTTCTGCATTTTAAGAAGGTTTTTTTTTTGTTTTTGTAAGTGTATAATGACGATAAAGGTTTATATTCTATTATATTCAAACAGTACAGACAAAGAGAAGAACACCTACCTTAATCCTGAGGCTACAAAAGTGTCCCACGTCCACTTTCCCCCGGGTTTTCTCTCCGCTTCTTCAGAATCATCACGCTTCCTTTTCTTCCTCTCCAGTGAGGAATTGATTTGCTTTCTGCATTTTAAGAAGGTTTTTTTTTGTTTTTGTAAGTGTATAATGACGATAAAGGTTTATATTCTATTATATTCAAACAGTACAGACAAAGAGAAGAACACCTACCTTAATCCTGAGGCTACAAAAGTGTCCCACGTCCACTTTCTCCCGGGTTTTCTCTCCGCTTCTTCAGAATCATCACGCTTCCTTTTCTTCCTCTCCGGTGAGGAATTGATTTGCTTTCTGCATTTTAAGAAGGTTTTTTTTTTGTTTTTGTAAGTGTATAATGACGATAAAGGTTTATATTCTATTATATTCAAACAGTACAGACAAAGAGAAGAACACCTACCTTAATCCTGAGGCTACAAAAGTGTCCCACGTTCGCTTTCTCCCGAGTTTTCTCTCCGCTTCTTCAGAATCATCACGCTTCCTTTTCTTCCTCTCCGGTGAGGAATTGATTTGCTTTCTGCATTTTAAGAAGGTTTTTTTTTGTTTTTGTAAGTGTATAATGACGATAAAGGTTTATATTCTATTATATTCAAACAGTACAGACAAAGAGAAGAACACCTACCTTAATCCTGAGGCTACAAAAGTGTCCCACGTCCACTTTCCCCCGGGTTTTCTCTCCGCTTCTTCAGAATCATCACGCTTCCTTTTCTTCCTCTCCAGTGAGGAATTGATTTGCTTTCTGCATTTTAAGAAGGTTTTTTTTTGTTTTTGTAAGTGTATAATGACGATAAAGGTTTATATTCTATTATATTCAAACAGTACAGACAAAGAGAAGAACACCTACCTTAATCCTGAGGCTACAAAAGTGTCCCACGTCCACTTTCTCCCGGGTTTTCTCTCCGCTTCTTCAGAATCATCACGCTTCCTTTTCTTCCTCTCCGGTGAGGAATTGATTTGCTTTCTGCATTTTAAGAAGGTTTTTTTTTGTTTTTGTAAGTGTATAATGACGATAAAGGTTTATATTCTATTATATTCAAACAGTACAGACAAAGAGAAGAACACCTACCTTAATCCTGAGGCTACAAAAGTGTCCCACGTTCGCTTTCTCCCGAGTTTTCTCTCCGCTTCTTCAGAATCATCACGCTTCCTTTTCTTCCTCTCCGGTGAGGAATTGATTTGCTTTCTGCATTTTAAGAAGGTTTTTTTTTTGTTTTTGTAAGTGTATAATGACGATAAAGGTTTATATTCTATTATATTCAAACAGTACAGACAAAGAGAAGAACACCTACCTTAATCCTGAGGCTACAAAAGTGTCCCACGTCCACTTTCCCCCGGGTTTTCTCTCCGCTTCTTCAGAATCATCACGCTTCCTTTTCTTCCTCTCCAGTGAGGAATTGATTTGCTTTCTGCATTTTAAGAAGGTTTTTTTTTTGTTTTTGTAAGTGTATAATGACGATAAAGGTTTATATTCTATTATATTCAAACAGTACAGACAAAGAGAAGAACACCTACCTTAATCCTGAGGCTACAAAAGTGTCCCACGTCCACTTTCTCCCGGGTTTTCTCTCCGCTTCTTCAGAATCATCACGCTTCCTTTTCTTCCTCTCCGGTGAGGAATTGATTTGCTTTCTGCATTTTAAGAAGGTTTTTTTTTGTTTTTGTAAGTGTATAATGACGATAAAGGTTTATATTCTATTATATTCAAACAGTACAGACAAAGAGAAGAACACCTACCTTAATCCTGAGGCTACAAAAGTGTCCCACGTCCGCTTTCTCCCGGGTTTTATTTCGGCCACACGGATCGTAGTCTCTGGATAAAAGGACAAAGAAACAAAGCAAAGGTCAATCAAAAACTGATTAAATGAATCACCAGATTCTTAGATTCATCCGCCTGTGAAACATCCCCTCTTAGTTTCAGATTTAAGATCTGCACCAGCTGTGTGTAAGTATAAACTATAAACTACTACTAAAATTATTATTTATGAACAGTTGTGTTTTGCCTACTTTTTGATGTCTGGATGATTTCTGTGTTCCTGCTCTTGCTCGATGGTCTGTCTCTCTCCGGGCTGCTGCATTGACAAAAAAACGGGTTTTAATATCTCCAATTATAACTGTAAATATCATATCATATAAAAAATGAATTATTGCTTTAATTATTTTCTTTAAACAATATTTAGAAATGTTGTGTTAAGATATGCAAACAAGGCATTATATCCTTTCAAATTAGCTAGTTTACATTTTCTTGAACAAAAATCTTTCATTATTAAGCAAAAACAAAACATTGACATATTAAATTCAAAGGTTTAACTAAAGGAATTTGTTAATATCCATTAGTATCACTACATAAATCAGAACACACTGTCTAAAGCCATACAATAAATCACATTTTTGATCAATAAACTACACAAACCTCTGTAAAAACTTTCTAGAAAATGGCTTTTAAAGATGTGTAAAGTAATAGTAATATGAAGTAAATGAAACACCTCTGTGTGTAATTTGCACGTTTTCTCTCTACTACACTGATAGAAGACATGTAATAGAAGAAATGTCCTAAAATGGACCTGTGTGTGTACATAAAGATCTCCGGTCCTACAACACTTACCTGTCGTCACCGCGGGGTTTTCTCCTCGATGATTTCCTCAGCGCCTTCCTCCCGGTTCTCTCTTGTTGGCAGGGTGGAGGCGCAGTGCTAACTTGCAGCGGCGGGGACACAGGCTTTATAGCAACAGGCGATTGAGGAGGGGGTTGTTGTTGTTGTTGTTGTTGTTGTTGTTGACTCTCTTCATCGTTTATGGAGAGGCTGTCCGATACCTGGGACGAGATGCCCAGGATGAGGGGGTGTTCTTGGGTCCTGAACCAGGCGGGGGGGCCCTCTGCTCCGCTGGTGGAGGGCGACAGGTTCATCTGACCCCCGTCAAAGCCCTCACTCTGATCCAGGCAGACCTCCATCTTTTCACAGCTGGATTTCACGCTGAAAAGAAGAAGAAAAAACATTGTTAAAACCAACGTTCCGAGTCAGGATGTTACTCCACTTTACAGTACTGATAGTTAGTCGTTTTTGCATGCAGTTATTTCTGAACTATTGCGTCACTTGCACATCTCTCTTGCACTATTTTTATGTTATCTTTACGTCTTCAGTTTTGTTGCAGTGTTAAAGAAGCCTTGGATTTAGGATTTTAATTCTCAGAGCTACACTTTTACTATTGTGCAGACGACAATCAAGTCTTTTGAATCGTATCAGAATCAAAAGTAAATAAGATAATGCATTGGACCCAATCAGCGTGATGCGGCTTCTCTTTCTTGTTGCAGATATTCTACAACAGTTGTAATGAGGACTCACTAGAAGCTGTTCTGGTGGTTTTGAGCGAGGCGGTTCAAGGTGATGAAGGGATGCTGAAGAAGATCGCTGGGGGAAATCCTCCGATCGATGTCCAGGTGAAGCATCTTCTTCAGCAGATCCAGGAACACCTTCCGGTCTTCAGTTTCTGCCACGTTGTCTTCGTCCAACAGGTGGCGGGGGGGTTTTAACTGAATCAGAACAAACCAGGAACATTATAGTTAAACCTCTATTCATCTCGGTGGATCATGGAAACAGATTTACGGCAGATGTTCTCATGTTTAACAGCTCATTTTCAAATAGTATTTCCTACCTTTATTATACCATTCAGCGATTTGAATTGTCTGGCACTTGGGTTGGTTTCTCCAGACTGCTGAACGTTTTAAAGATAAATTATATAGGATTAGGTAACCTGTCTCAAAAGGAAATTAAAAACAGTAAGATATTTTAGTTTAAAAGCAACTCAGTGCTGGTACCTTCAATATCCAACAATGTCTCCCGCTCTTCCTTCTATAATGGAAAAACCAATGCGTGTTGACGCCTTTGACCATGAGACGAGACGGAGGATGACCCTGAGTCTGCACTATATGTCGCAGCTGTTGACAAAACACAAACAAAGTCAGTTACACTTACATCAATATTAGGATTTTCAAATAACATAGAAGTGCTTCAGAAAAGTTTACAAAAAGCCAACGTTTTACGCAGTTACAGTATCTCCCTTTTCAAAGAGGCCCTACTATGCTTTCTAGGGGTTTCCCACCGTTTTTTCTGTTGCATTTTATGGTGAAATACACACATTTGCTCTCTTGCACAGAGGTACAGATCGATACGTCTCTGATGTCTGGGCATAATGTATATTTCTATAACCAGGAAGTCATTAGCTTAATCTAATTTAGGAAACATTTTAAGTAAAAAGTGTTTCTAAGTGAGAGAGCAAGGCTAGCGGTTTGTAGCTGCGGTCAGTCTTTATGCTAAGCTAAGCTACTGGATAATACATTTGAGCGTGGTATTGATCCAACTCCTGGAAAGAAAGTGAAATGAAATGTTTCTTAAAGATATTGTTTAAGCTACCACGACTAATATAAAGTGTTCGCATAATTGTGTGCGTGTGTATCCTGCTTATTATCCCTTCTACATAATAAATTAAAGTTTTGCAGTATTGCTACACCCACCATTTCGTGCTCGGTGTCTCCAGGGTAGAGCACAGCGCCCGCAAACAGCTCCGCGGCGATGCAGCCCAGAGACCACATGTCGATGGCTGACGTTGTGGGGAGTCCTAGGATAATCTCCGGAGACCTTAGAAAAGACAAATAAACATATATCGTTTTAGTTTTGAGTCATTTTACAATTTTTTTGCTATTTAACTTCTTAAGCATTAAAGGTCCCCTATTATACTGTTTTTCATCAATATAGTATAGGTCTCAGATATATACAGAACATGTCTCTGATTGGCTGAAACACCAAACAGATCATTGCAGCATCCCACAATCCCCTCTGTTTCAGCCCTGTTTCAAAAGTGCTGATTCTCTGTCTGTTAGTTTAGATGAAAATAAGGAGCCCCTCCCCACGCCCCTCTGAGAGATATTTGGTTAAAAAGAACACAATGGTGCTCTAGGAGGAGATTCAGGTGATAAGGTGGGGAGGGGGTTACCTTGGTTGGTGATTGGCTAATAGTTACACAAGCCAAAACATCGTTATGACATCATAAGGTGGCCAAAATCTGATCAGCTCATTTTCAGACAGGTTTTTATAGAAATGGATCAGGACAAAAAGAGAGAGAATCTTTGTTCCTGAAACTTTCAGAGTCTCTTTACACAGAGGGGACACATGTTGATGTATAGAAGACATGAACAAGTGGATTTTTTTTGCACAATAGGTGACCTTTAAATCTTCTTCCCCCGCTGCTGGTTTCTCACCTGTAATGTCGTGTCTGCATGTAGTCGCCCAGCTCCGACTGAGCGACGTGACGCGCCATGCCGAAGTCGATCACCTTGATTCTCCACGGCTGCTTCCTGTGGTCCAGCAGCATGATGTTCTGCGGCTTCAGGTCCGTGTGCACGACTCCCAGACTCTGGAGCAGCTGCAGCGTTACGGAAACCTGAAATATAAGATCACGAATAAGTCTTTATGCTAAGCTAAGCTAAGCTACTGGATAATAAACACACATTTGAGCGTGGTATTGATCTAACTCCTGGAAAGAAAGTGAGATTAAATGTTTCTTAAAGATATTGTTTAAGCTACCACGACTAATATAAAGTGTTCGCATAATTGTGTGCGTGTGTATATTTTTATCCCTTCTACATAATAAATTAAAGCTTTGCAGTATTGCTACACCCACCATTTCGTATAATCAGTTGCAAAGATGTTGCTTAATTCTTGCAGGCAGGATATTTCTTATCAGTTCTGTGGAAATGTTCAGATGTTCTCTTGTTTTTCTTTATAAATGTGTGTGTGGAGCATCTAGCGTACCTGGTACAGGATGGGGCGGATTTCGTCCAGCGCCAGCGAGCGGTGAGGTTTCTGATAGAGGAAGTCAAACAGACTCGTGTCCAGGATCTCAAACTCCAGACAGACGTGTGTCCCGGAGACAAACACATCGTTGAACGTCACAAAGTTAAACCTGTCGGAGTCAAACGCTTTGAGCACTTCCATTATCTCCATCTGGGGAACAAACGATTGCATGTTGAGAAAATACATCTTTACAGGGCAAGATGAAATACAGTTAAAATTATGATGGACGTCCATTTGAAGTATTAATAACATAAGAAGTAGATACATCGTTACGTCTACCTAGAGGGTCATTAGTAAGGTTCTGTATTTATACCTCACCCATTTTATCCATTCTTCTTTAAGTATATGAACTTGATTTCCAATTGTCATGCCCATTTTATATATTGCTTTTAAAAGATCCTCCCATTTATAGTTAATTATTGCAACTCTAATGACTAGGAATAAGTGAAAATCTTTATTTATTGTCGTCTAATTGTGTTTTTTGGCAGGAAATGTGGGGTTTTATCTACAGAAATACCCCAAAAAAGCACATTATCTCCAGGATTTTGAAGTTTAATTTGTATTTATTTGACTTTTAGTTGTGTTAAAGTATTAAATAATAATCTTCCACATATATTATTCCCAAGAGTAAGATGTATTTTGAATGTTTCTGCTCTTTACTTCCCAGTCGGTTGATGGTATAATGCAGAAAACGAACTTGATGGTTCATTTGGATTATCACAACCAAACCAATTTAGTTGTTTGTACAAAGCCATGAGTCAGACATCTTAAGCGTGCATGTTATACATTGGTTATAACTTATAATATAATAAATATATTAATATAGATGTGATCAGAGTTGTTCCCTACCTCATTCTTTGCCTCTGGTGTTAAGTTCTTTCCCTTCGCGATCTTCACAGCCACCGTCCTGTTGGTGGCCATCTTTAAGCACTTAACGACTTTCCCAAAGGTGCCCTCCCCCAAAAAGGACTGGATCAGGTATTGGGAGGAGGGGGAGGAGAGGACACCCATGGGTTTGCACACTCCCCCTGAAGGAAAGTAGCATGAGGAGGAGGAGGAGGTGGTGGAGGAGGTGTTCGTCTCTGCATCAGGTGACGGAGTTGAGTTGGGGTCTCTGTAAGACTACAGGAGGAAGAAGAAAGAGTGATTAACACATGAAGTCACATTTTGTCTCATCAAAGTCTTTCTGAACTATACAAAACTAAAATATAGCAAAAAGTCAATACAAATGTCGGCTGATTTCACAATTTGGACAATTCAATTCGTGCTTGAACTATTTTTCAAAAACATCTCAAAATGACATTAAATGACATTTTACTGCTTTTTTAATAAGAATAAACACATTATTTGTTCATTTACAAGCCTTAACTAGTATTCAAGATGGATTGGAAGTTGTTAACTCATCTTGTTAGTGAAATATATTAACATATTACAAAAAAACAAGTGCTTTAATGTACAGTCAATGCGAAAAAAGTGGGACTCATTGACAATTCGGATGTTTCTTTTCTTGCTCCTGCTATTTTTTTGTTTGTTTTTCACGTCTTTGTTAACAAAAACAACATTCAAATTACATTTAACTGTTTTTTTTGATAAGACTAAACTGAATTTGATGAATTAAAAAACCTAAAATAAGGTGCAAGATGAAGTAGAAGTTGTTAAATCTTCTTGTTAGTGAAAAAAAGTGTGATACAATGGGATTATAAGAATATATTTTAACATAAAATCGAATTTCTTTGTAAGAAAACTATTATTTTTATGTATTTACTACCAGATTTGATCAACTCACCATGTTGTCACTCGTGTTACTAATCGTGTTTGAAAGTTTTGTTGAGATGAACAAAGTTGAAGTTT